CGTCTCGTCGACCGGCGGTGGGGCCGAGCCCTTGAATCGCGGCGTTAACGCGATTCCGACCGCTGTTTCTTTCGCTCACGGTTCAAGGTCGCGGCGCGGAGGCCGCAGCACGCCGCGTCTACCTCGAGCTCGCTGCGTCTCCGCCGGCGGCGACGACGAAAACCGCGCGGCGTCCAAGCAGAACGAGAGCAGGGCGGCTGAGAGCGGTGCCAGGAAACCCGGCTGGAAACCCACTGCGCCTGCTCTGCTCAGGGAACGCGGCTCTGGTCCTGGGCCGCGTCGGAGCGGGGGGATCGCACTCCCCTCGGCTGTCTTCACAGCGAAACGAAGTGGCGTCCAGACAAGCGACGAGGAAGGCTGCGAGGGAGCGGCGGCAAAGGCGGCCGCGGCCTCGTCCGGGCAGGGCACGCACGTGTCTGCCGGACACTGCCTGTCTCAGCTCGGCTGCCCCACGGAGCGCCACAGGCTGAGGGACGAACAGAGACGCCGAGTCCTCACAGTCCGAGGCCGGTGTCAGCGCGGTCGGGGTCCGGGGAGGTCCCCTCCGGGACCACAGACGGCGTCTTCTCGCGTGTCCTCGTCCTCACGTCGCGTAGCGCAGACAGAAGGGACGGCCGTCTCGTCTCACGGGGCGTCTCAGCCCCATCACGGGGGCCCTACCACCCCATCAAACGCGTTGGAGATGAGGGTCTCGAAATACGAAACGGGGGGGTGCGGAATAAATGTAGTCCGTAGCACTATATTAGGGGCAATGAGTTCGGATTGATTCGTAAGCTTCCTACTTGTAACTTGGGCACGTCCCCACCCCCAGGACGAGGACGACCTGCTGCGGGATGCACAGTGACCGCCACAGCCCAGCACAGTGCAGGCATGGCCATGGTCTGACTGAGGACCCCGCCAGGAGCAGCGGGCCCTGGGACCCCCATCCCTAGGCACAGCCACAGGCAGTGCACCTGCGTCTGTGGCTCAGAGGAAGGGGCTGCGGTGGCCCAGCCTCATCCCAGAGTGGGAGGGGAGTGGAGGGGGTGTGGCCCAGGGTCTCCTTCGGGACACTGGCTCCCCGGACCCCTCATTTTCGCCTCGTCCGGGCCAAGGCACATCCTTCTCTGAGATAAAGCTTATGCTTCTCAGTGATGTCATCGGAGAAAACAATCAACTGAATTTCACATACTGTCAAAGGACATTTAATCTCTCAAAAGGAAAACAATATAATCCAAAAACCAGCACAAACAAAAAGGCTAGGGGACCCGGGAGGTAACGTCGCTCTGCTTCAAAAAACAACTCGCATCCGTACTTAGAGACAAAGGTTTTAATGATGGTTCTTTATGTTTCTCGCGAAGCACTCTTCCCTTCTAAATGTCACACTCAATATTAAACGCTTACAACGGTGACCCCAAAGAACAGAAAAACGGGAGAAAGCGAGGTTCTCGGGGAGTGCGTCTGAGTCCCCCATGGACAGGGTCCCAGGGCCCCGGAGACCGGGCGCACAGTGGACGGTGAACCGGCGTCTGCAGAGACCGGTGAGACATGCCTGCTGTGGCGGGCGCAGGGGACAGGCATGCGTGGCAGTGTCTAGAGCAGAGCCCCACACAGCCTCAGCACCACGGTTCTCGGCGTAGACGGAGGGGCGGAGGGCCTCACAGGGCCTGACCCGAGGCGCCGCGGTCCCATGGAACCCAGCGACCCTACGCAGGGTGGAGGGCTGTCCCGCCCGAGACCAGGGCTGGAGCTGGAAGACAAGTCTCCGCGGTGAAATGGCTCGTCCTGCGCTGGGGTCGCGAGGGGCGGGCGTCCGGCGGGCGGTGCCCACGTCCCTTCCCGCTGGCACCTATTCCGGGCCCGGCCGAACCTTTCCTCTCAGGGGGCCGCCCTGACCCCCGAGGCCACCAGGACGGCCCC